TGAGCCAGAAAGGTTTCTTTTTGGCTTCAGTTCAAATAAAATTATATAAGAGCACATTTGTATGTGTAGTGGAAATATTGAAGATCACTTAAAACTTGGTGAATGGTTTTCCTCCACCACTACAGAACTGCTGTCAAGTGGATTGGGTACTCCAGGAAATGATATGAAAAAAAATCTGAAAAAGGGGTGGATCCTTTTAAAAAAAAGATTTATTTAACCATGGCAGCTTTGTATTGATCAGCACAAGTATCTGAAGTTAAACAAAGGGATTTAAGAAGAAATACTACTTCTTAGAATGTTTTCATCCTCACCTAAATAAATAGCACAATGACAATGAATTATTTAGGGAGTCGTTTTATTTCTTTTATTTCTGGGCATATAGTAATGTAAGGGATAAAACCGTGATCAGATATTTTTATCACTGTTTCCTGATCAGTACAAACTCCTGATTAGAAAACTTCCCATGTGCAAAATGTTAACAGGAGACTGGCAGGATAGATAAGTTTCACCTACACCTAGAAGTCCAATTCACAAAAGCGACTTGATCAGCTGAGGACATGCAGAGTCTCCCTGAGATGGATGGGTGAAATTCAGGCTCCACTGAAGTCAGTTTGTGTCTTAAAACCCAGTGAGACCTGGGTTCTACTGTGGCCCTTCTTGCAGTGCTCTCAGCATCCTTCCATTTATCAATTTGTAATAGGGGTCGAGTTTTTCAGTAAATGGTCATTTTGGAGGCCCTTTAATAAGGAGTGAATGTCACCCAACAGACACAACACTTACTCTACAAAGATATTACTTCCTATGACAGCTTACACAGAGATGATGAGGCCACAGATGACTGTGAAACAAATATTCACTGCAGTTTTACTCCAGAGGTAAAATGGTGGGAAGATACTCCACATTATCTTTCAGATTTGAGAGAAGATTTTGATGTTTCAGGTCTAAGTATCTAAATAGAACTAAGGAGACTTTCTATCTGACTCTTCAACTTGATAAATTGGTCATAACACCCCTCCACACCCACCATGTGCTCCATCTATTTGAATCTTTCCAGCAGTAATATATCCACTATGACTCTCACTAGAATTGTGATCTCAATAGATTTTTGCAAATTTTGTGTTCAAAATATCTATGTGACTTGAGAATACTATCTCCAGTTTAGTTTAGGTGAGTATTTGAGCATATTTGAGCAGAAAAGTATGTCATGATAAAGCTTTCAAATATTTTAAACAGGCTTTGTAGGCAAATTATTGAAGATTTTTCTTTAATAAAGCAGAGTGGCATGCTATCAAAAGGCACAAATACATCTCCATTATCTGGTCTAGGAAACAGAAAAATAGCATGATTATTATACTACAGTTTGATGATTGGCACTTAAATAAATACTCAAAGTAATTACCATCATAAAAAGAAAGCCACTTTTTTGGATGAACATCAATGCAGAGGCTGAAGACAGCAGATGAAATTTACTATACCATGGATTGTTGTCAAACAGCCTTTGTAGATGACTGTCACTGTGTAACTATGTTGTATATATCTATGAAGAGATAGAAAGTAGGCCCAATCATGCAAGCTCTCCTATGAAAGTACATCCATTCTCCTGCTCACATCAACCCCACTGATGTCAGAGGGTTCCATATGAGAAGTGGGTTCAGCCACACAACATTTCTTGCAAGATTGAGGCCGAAATAAATTAATCTTTGTCACATTAGGCATTATCATCACCAGAATAGTAAATATTTTTGCAACCACAAAAAAAAAATCTTAGAAGCCAAAAAAACAAATAAATGAACAAAACCATAAAAACTCTCCAGTGTACATTTGTATACTAAATTGCAAAACATTAACTAAAACTTTTGTTACTATTGTGGTAAATCAGAATACATGTCTACTGAAAAAATAATAACAAGAAGCTCTAAGTCATTTTACTTAATTTTACTCCTTATTTTTTGTTGAAGAGAGATTGTCACTGCCACATTCCATATTGTCAATAATTTCAATGGCTCACTCCCATTGTCATCCCTGGAGCATGTTAGTGTAACAATTCAGATTACTTTTACAAATAGTTATATTCTGTCAACTCTTCTGACATTTCATACTAACACTTGAAATTACTTTTAGACAGTAAAAGTGACATTTATACAGATACCTGTTTTTTTCTTTTTAGTCTAGAATAGGAAAAGAAAATGAAGAAATGATGTTATTCCAGTTCTACACATATCTTACAAATTACTACACGCTGTCCCTCATTTGGAAATATCAGTGTTTTTGAGCATTCTTTCATAGTTATATTTGGCTTCCTCCTGCACAGCATAGAATCAAAGCACAAGAGATAACCTATTAATCCGCAGACCAAAGAGTACGCTTTGAACAGTTCATCAGTAATTTAGAACTGTTTAATTTTCAGCCTTCACATAGCCCAACTGGCAAGAGACTTAACAGCAGGAAGAAAATAAATATTTTTGGAAATAGCTTTTGATTTGTAACCCAATATAGAGGGAAATGCTTTTGCTTCCAATATTGAAATAATTTTGCAGTATATTTTACTTGTAAAGAGTAGCACAGGTGTAATAATAAATGTGCTGACAAAATCCTCTAATACCTTCACATTGCAATTAGATGACATATTGGGGAGGAGGGAAAAGCAAACAAAACTAAAAATGCCAATATATATCTGTTAAGTCATGAAGATTTTGCGTGTAAGTCTCAATAAGAAGTACTAAAATTTAAAGTGCATCTACAGCTGAGTGCAGACACTGTTAACTCTACCCATATTGTATAGGAACCTTGTTGTGCAAATGATCATGCTGGATTCAGGAAAAGCACCGTTTGCCTAGTGAAGCTTGACTTGTGTGACTATGCATGGCACCACCTAACTTTGTGATGACAGGTAGAAGAGAAAAGGCTGTTTCCTACCTTCATCCTCATCCTAGTAAAAATACTGCATGAGATGATGTGGGGTGTAGATGTTCAAGCCACACCAACCGCATTATTCTCACTGCTTGAATTTTCCAGATCCTTTCCTTGCATTTTGATAGAGGGAGAAAGTCCAGTTGCAAATATATACTTTGTAGAAAGAATATATATTCATCTATATAAAGGAGGCAACTGGTTCTCTTAATTACAGGTTAAGGGGCAGTCCTGCTCACTGTGTGCCTACTCAGAAAGAAACCGGACAGAATTTTAATAGACAAGCAGCTATTTGGTAGTACTGCCTGCTCAGTATGTGGGAGCAACAGCAAGAGGTTATAAAATAATGTCTTCATCTTTCCTTCACCCAGAAGTAGTGTCTTAGCATTTAAAGAGACTTGTTTGCAGCAGGTTAAATCATTCTCTTTCATTACTTTAATCCCACATTGCTATCTGCTCTTACCCATTCTTCTCACTTTTGTTCTGGTTTTGTGGGAATTTGGCCTCTTATCCTAGCTGCACCAGTGGCATGCCTCTGTCCTCAACTACTTGGTTCACTGTAGGTATTTCTGAAAGTAAGAAAAAGTCATTAAAAAAAATCCAACATAAAATGACTTGTTTTGAAAAAATAAGAAATATCTATGAATTAAATACATCGTCCTCAGCTCTTTCAAATGCACTAAAGCTTGGGTTAACAACAAGGTTAACCTGCAATTTTCCCCAAATTTAAGGACACTCTTTTACATTTCACTTTCAGCTTTACTGCACAGTCAACCACTTTTCTAGACTACAAAATATCGGCTGAGACTTGATGATGTTCTGTGGGAAATAAGGAAGCGTAAGGACTTCAGATACGGCAAAAATTCAGATAAAGCATGGAGAGGGCATATTTTCCTGAGTAAAGCTACATTTAAACCTCAAGTATGACTTAGATGTTGAAAATCCACAACGTACTCTACAATCTACTCCTGACAAGTAGAATTTTTCAGTCTAGTTTTCTATACGGTTTACATACGTCTTCCAAAGCAAGACTTTGAAGAGTTTAGTAGGTGTGGATACACTATGCTGGAATGGAAACAACATAAATTTCTCCAATTAGTGGTGCCATTAAATCAATGATAATGAATAAGAATGATTTTTTCATCAAATAAATCAGCCAAATTTCAGAGTGCTGCATGTTAACCAGAATAATAAAAAGGATTATCTTAAGAAATGCTTGACAGGAAAAAATGTATTTTCTTTAATACAAAATGCTATTCATTAATCATTTAAAAGTGTTCCTAACTATTTAACCAAAGTCCTCCTTTCCATCTGTTCTTACATTTTTTTTTGTTAAGACAAAGGGTATGCAATCATAAAGGAACAAGTGCTACTTTAATAAGGCCAACTTTTAATATTTCATGTGCTGTTTTGGGGAGAAAATGTATCTATCTATTACACTACAATGCAGTTTTATCCCTTGACTAAATGAGTAAAACTACAAGAACAAATCTGGTATATGTATATATACATTGGGACAAATAATTCGAGCTTGTGTTTATTTTAAGGTTTCACTTGAAGCCAAGATTATGATCAAAAAAGAGCTTTCTTTTCACACCTTTGCTCATTTTAGTTCACACGCAACCTCCCAAACATTAATACAGAAAATCTGAAGCACTGAAAATCCTGGTGCCTTTCAGAGGCACACTCATGTAGTTAGGATAAGGCCAACACACTGCTACAAAATATTTAGCCAATTTTATTTAAATCTACATCATGTTTATCAACTTTTTATTATACCGAAAAACCCAGATGGAACTGCAGGTGGAATGGCTTTATGTTGAGGAGAGTGTTTTAGTTTGTTTGTTTCAAGTGATAAGTACAGCTGGAATGACTACTGAGTGTCTCCCAGTGCTAAGGTCTTAAACTTTATACTAAGACTTCTTTTCTATTTTTTTTTTTTTTTAAAGGCAACCTAAACTTTTGCTTTATTATAAACGGAAACAAATACAGCAGTATATGGCACTTCATGTATGTAGTTTGCACTGTAGGATCTGGAGAGATTTGATGTGTTGTTTGTGGTTAGGGGTGCTTCGTAAAGTATTCTTCTGAATAGACATACTTTGTCATATAATAGATTACAGTTCCTATTCTGCATATTTTTCAAATTTATACCATGGGACTTGGTGTCAGCAAAACTACATACTATAACCATTAACCAAAAAATAGAAAGGAACTGTAGACAGAAACTGTTTCATCATATGTACACATGTACTAACTATTCCAAGCTTAAGTTTCCCAAGAAATTAAGGTCAGCTGTAAAGTTTTGGTCACGGGGTTACTTCAATCCAAATGCATTATCCAGACAGCTGTAGTTTATCTCATTATGCTTTGCTATCATCTTCTTTTGACTGGATGATGTCATTAGAAACTTTGATTTCTATGGTTTCTGGATTTAAAGCTTCTTTCCCATTTTCCTCCTTTAGTGGCAGCTTCCTGTGAGAAGAAAAGAGGAAGTATGGTAGCACATAAATAACACATAATCTGAAATTTAAGTCTACAACGTATGCACTGTTTACACAGACCACAGCGTTTCTAAAAACATAATTTATTGAAAATAATGTATAATTACTGAGGTTCTTTGCTTTTAAAGAAATTAATATTAACTCTTTCCATTTCTACAAAGCCAGAAAAAGCTAAATGGCACATGACAAGAAAACTGCTGCTGCCCAAAATGCAGTTTCTTCAATAACACAAAAGAAACAATAGAATGCCAAATAACTTGACTCAAGGCAGTATGCAGGTAGGTGTTCCCAAGTATACCATGAAACACTAAGATTCAAGCCTTTTGCTGAATCTAGATTATACTCTTTTTTTAATGTCTTTTTCTAAATGTAAATTCAATTGTATACGAAATAAGACATCTATCATTGGAGGTTATGCCAAGACATAGGTAAAGAACTTATAGCACAAGGAGGTAATGGAAGTTATTTTGTTATCTAGAAACTTCTACAATTTATTTTTTGCTATAGCACACAATCCGTATTAATAACTTATGGCTCTTTTAAGACTAACTTAGTGAAAACTCAGAATAAATGGCACAATTAGAAGCTGGCTACTTACATTCATCCCTGTGATAGAAGCTGTTCTTATTTGAATGCAAGAAGACATTCAGATGGTATTTTTATTTCAGAAACAGCCTAAGATTCCTTTGGGTTCTAAAATCCTTAATTCCAATGGCAAAAGAGTCCTCACTCTTACTTTACAGGAAAGGCAAAACACTGATTTCATTCAAAAGGGTCTTGAAAATCATTGACTTCCTACTGCTAGTAGTTAGCTGACAAAAATATAGCTGTCAAAAATATGTACGGTTTTCTCAGATGTTTCTATAATAATGTCTCCTGGGCATAATAGCTGTTAATCGTGATTCCAGTTTAGGTTTGCTTTCTGGTTTTTAACTAAGAAACAGTATGCATATGTCTTTTTTATTCATAACAACCGTTAAATGCTTCAGTAAATGTCCACTGTGATTGCTTTGATGTCCCAAAGAGCAATATACTGTTCGAAACCTGTCTGAGGAATCCCTTAGGAATGTCGTGTAATAAAAGTGTTTAATAACAACGAATAAACCAAAGCAATACCCGAATTCCCAGTCTTATGAAATTTAGGCTGTCTGAAACGAATGAAGAAAGATGCTGTTTATCTAGAGGTTTGACAATGAGCACAACCTGTATCAGAGAAAATAAAAGACTAACTTCTATTTCAGTAAAATATTGGGGATGTATATCACCTGCCTGGCTTTCAGCACAGAGGGAGGTCTCTAGTAAATGTATGTTTCACATGGCACACCCAAAGGAAACAGATTTCAGCCCACAACACGATTCATGAAAGGAAAACAGCAGAATCAACACAAATCTATTTTTGAAAGAGGATAAAACACAGGCAGAGGAAGCACAGCTCATGAGATGCATTTTAGGTAAGCAGGCACCTGTGTTAAAGGCCTGATAATGCAAAGCCCTTAAACTAGTATTAAAAAAAAGACCTAATTTAATCTAGTTTTATATAAAGGCAGAGTAATTTCTCAAAAGATGGTGCTGAAAGGGAGGAAATATTTAGTCAAAATAATAACTGGGCAATTGACAGAATATACCGTGTGGAAATCTAAATAAATTGGTTTTGAAGAAATGGATTAAGAGCATGTTACAAATAATTTCAAATTTTGAAATAGGAAGATTTGCAAGAACCCTGTTGAATGATACTAAATATTACTGAAATCCATGTTCATGCAAACAGTGTGATAAAATTAGCCTTGCTCTTAATTCAAGCAAGAACTACAAATAAAATATTTTACAAGTTTTCCTCATCAGAAAGTCCATCCTCCATTCTTTGACCTTATTGTCTTTAAAAATGTGAGGGGTTTTGGATATGATGTGAAGTTATCAGTTCAGTTATCATTAGATGTTGTCCTTTTTGACTATGATATTTTCGTTATTTTGGAATATTCCTCTCTATTTGTTTCAAATATTAATTAATATTTAATCTCTATTAACAGATACAATCACTTTCCTCTTTTAACTAACTAAATCAAGTTTAAATGTTTTAATTACACCAATTTTTCTACATCTAATTTTTCTTTAGCTACACCTATTGGAAATAATTTTATAATTTTCATCTGGGCAGACCAATCTTTTCAAATCTTAATGTATTTTATAATAAAAGCTTTTAGGAAAAAAAAAAAGACTGGAGAACTTTAATAGGCTCTTTTGTTTTAATCAGATACAGGCTGTTATCAATCATTAATAATATTGACTTCCTCTGGCACTGCATGTGGGCTAACTGCAATAGTCTGCTGATATTACCCATACAAAACTTCAACTAGAATATTTATTTCCTTTTTTTATAGGAAAATGGCTCCTAGTTATTTTGATACTGGAATTCACTCAGCTTCATTGATACTAAGAAAAACTCAACCGATACTGGAAACACAATAATGTCAGACTAGGAATGTAATTATAGTACCACATTGCATGTGATATTTTAATCATATTACAGAAATGTAATATGAAATGCACAGCTTAAATTGATTTCCTGCCAGTATTATTAAAACTTGTTGAATTCCAGGTAAAAGTACTTTGTGCTCATCTGTCACACATGGATCCCAAACCCGGCTTTGACGAGAATCATCTGAGTTAAGGTAAAATTTAGCTTCCTGAATAAAATGTTGAGCAATATAATGAAAATACTCTATTACTGTAAGAGGAAACCATGTCTTTATCAATTATTTCCCACAAATGCTTAAATTGCATTTGAAGTTCTGAGTATAATTTGGTAGCATTCAAAATAATTCCACCAATTACTCATAATATTTAATCTAATTTAAACTGAAGGCTTATCTTGCATACCTTTAAGACAGTCATAATTAGTCAGAATGAATCCTACTTTGTATGAACATTGCTTGCCTGGAATGTCCTTGAAACTCTTCCTTCCTGCAAGCTAAGCTCTTCCCTTCAAGATCCCTGCTGGTCATCCTTGCCCTGCCCAGTGTGTGCCTTTCTGGCTGACAGCACCTGTTGTTGACAATGTGGTTTTGTGTTATTCGTTCTGAGAGACTTACTTCTACCCTATTGTATCCTCCTTTCCTTCAGTGGCATCTGACCCACACTTTATATTGCTTCTCTGTTTCACCTGTTACGACTTGCGTCTAACAAAAGGTCCTTCCACCTTCCCCTAGTAACAGTGTCCCTTCAGATGTCTTGATTGCTTGATGCTCTATTCTTTGGTTTCCTAAGTGACACTGTCCAGAATCTTTAGCTGACCTCCATCCAGCTGTACCTTGGACTGCTACCTTTTGTCATTGTTTGTGGGAGAAGAAATTACTAAGGAGGAAACTGTTATCATTATTAATATCTCTTAGCAGTCCTATTTCCCCGAGGACATAATACCCATCAAACTCCTTATCAGTTGTTTCTATGATTTAGTTACTTTTTTGTGCCACCAGTGACTGATTCCTTCCTCCTCCCCTAAGATAATAAGTTTTTGATCTTAACTTTTTCATATTTCACTCCTATCAGCTTCTCTAATGACTGGGACAAGCAGGAAGAACTGAACTTAATCCTTCTTTGTATCATGTCCCTTGCTAGACGCATCTCATCTGTATTTGCAAGATCTGGTGTTACAAATAGCCTTGATGCATGAAAAAAAGTGGACCTGGTGCCTTCCTCACTACCATATCTAAAGCCTGCTGGACTAGTACAATGTTTACAACTACATGCCCCTGACACCTTAGATAACTGTGGGTTCTTTTCAGTGCTCTTCGGTAGAAATTCTAATATGAAGAGTAAACATTTCACTAGTCATCCAACAAATTTCATAATTATTTAATTAAGACAAGTTTGAAGTCTTCAGGTACGGGTTCTTTAAAGAAGTATATAGCTTGATGTGCAGTTATTTAACACACACTGCCCCCCACCCCCACCCCCTCCTCACTTTACTACAAATGCCAATGACAGCAAATAACACAGGCTTTTTTCTTATTAAAGGTTCTGGCATTTGCAGTTCCAGCTAATGGCAGGGAAGGCAATTTTGTTGTATTTTCAGAAAGAGAAAAAGACTTTCATAAGAACGTCCTCTCCTTTTAACTGTGGGGTTTTTCAGCCTGGAGAAGAGAAGGTTCTGCACACACATTCTAGCAGACTTCCAGTACCCGGGCCCATAAGCAAGCTGGAGAGGGACTTTTGACAAGGGCGTGTAGTGATAGGACAAGAGGCAATGGCTTTAAACTGAAAGAGGGGAGATTTAGATTAGATCTAATGAAGCAATTCTTCAGTCTAAGGCTGGTGAGGCACTGGAACAGGTTGCCCAGAGATTACGGATGCCCCATGCCTGGCAGTGTTCAAGGCCAGGTTGGATGAGGCTTTGTGCAAACTACTGTGGTGGAAGGTGTCCCTGCCTGTGGCAGAGGAATTGGAGCTAGATGATCTTTAAGGTCGCTTCCAACCCAAACCATTCTATGATTTTATGATTCCATCAAATAATCAACAGGTGAGTGTCTGTAGTCACTGCAGAAGTGTCTTCGTAGCCCTGACAGCTTTAAGATCACATGAGGCAGGAGATTTTCACAACACACGAAAAGATCTGGGTTCAAACCAAAGAAACCTGGAGTTTAATATTCAAATCAATCAACTTCTGAGGGTCAGAAATGAAACTCTTGAGCAATCAGTTCATGTCCTTTAATACCATTAAGTGGGCTCTTAATAGAATGAATGTTACGGTGATCACCTTTGTTGAAATTAGTTTCTCTTCAGACTAAATTTTCAGAAGAAAAAACCCAAAACACAGCAGAAGATCTCCTTTTGATAGTAAGCTTAGCAAAATTACCAGCTTCCTTGTATGCTATCACAAATGTTAGTTTATCCTCCACACACATTTCAAAAAGCGCTATTCGGGTACAAACACTGGCCACTCTACCCAGAGTAATCTGTTCCAGGGGCTGCAATGACAAAACAGAGGAGAAGACCTGACCATCAGCACCTAGGAAGCCATGGGCTTGGTCCCTGCGACTCAGGAGGCAGACAGAGCCTGCAAGCCCGAGGGGAGAACCGCTGTGGTTTCTGTGCTGAGAACAGCTTGCAGGGATGAGAAGGGGGAACGAGGGAATTGAACAAAGTGGCTGCCTTTCAGCGCTGTTAATCCAATTACACCACATAGACTTAAATAACGAGCTAAACTCTCAGTTACACGAGTGAAAGCAGGAAGGGACCACCCTGTGAGGAGCTGGGTTTCTGGAGCATGGGATCATTGTGTCCTACATTCAGGGGGTGTGCGGAGATGTGCATGGGACCCAATCTAAGGCCACTCCTGTGAATCAGATTATTCCTGTAGAGTAGTTAATAACTGCCGGGTGGGCTCTGAGTATGTGGTAAAGATCAGCTGCACTCCAATAAAAAAATCCTCTTCATCTTGCTCAGCTGCCGCTGCAGGGCTAGGAGGGCATGGGGGTCAGATGACCGCGGGTGCTGGAGCTGAGAGAGAAACAGGCAGGGCTGTAACTTGTCTCTGCTGGCTGTGGTCCCCTGTGGGGTTTGGAGATTAACTGGGAGAGGTGGAGGAGCACTGGGACAAGCTTTGGAGCTGTCAGAGAGCCAGAGAGTGCAGGCAAGGTCCTGACCTCACCTTCCAGCCTCTGAATGCAGCAGGTAGATCTGGGGCAGCAGGACGATGGGGGTCTGTGTCCCGCCAGGGCCAGGGCTGGGCAGGGGCTGCCGATGAGGCTGGAGCAGACGTGGGCTCCTGGGCCCTGGTGGGTGAGCCAGGGAGGACACGGCAGGGCTGCCTGTGCCCCCTGGCCCTGACACGAGGCCTGTTTTCACCAAGAGTGAAGGAGGATCTCCTTGGGAGTCAGGGGAGCATAGAGGGACAGAAAATTTCCCTGGATACTCGCTAACCTCCAAACAGCTGGTGGTGTAACATACGCGACAGGATTGCTGCTATTGCAGTGCTGCCATCCAAGGGCTGGATAATGCTCAGATGTGGTTGTACTCCAGGTCACAGAAAGAAGAGAAAAATGTCTAGTGATCACCTCAGCTGTTATATGTAGGGTACTGTGATTTACATTGATTATTGTAAAAAAAACACATTGGTAAACTGCATTGCCGCAGCACATTCTGGTGATGCTGTGTATCTCCCTCCCAGAGCACAGGAAGCCCAGTCCATCCTCACAGCCAGGAGTAGCTTGTGTGAAACACTGGGGAACGTCAGGTTACTTACTCTGGTTCTGTGAGGGGAGTTGTCTCATTTGGCTCATTTACTGGACTCCCGTCTTCATGATTGGTAATCCTTTCATCCTCTGTTCGCATTTCCACTATTGGTTCTTTTGATCCATCTTTCCTAAAAATTATTAAAAGAATCTTGGTCTCATCATCATATTAACCACATACATTGCACACAGCTAATTACCAAGATCCCTTCTCTAAAGCTGGCAAAGAAAAGGCAGAACTAATTATCAGTGACTAACACCACTGAGACGCATTTAACAGTGTGTTCCCAATTCCTTGAAGTCTTCAAAGCATCCTGTATCCATGGTTACTTACCTAACTCCGCATTCATCATGGATTAGCATCTCAAAAGAGCATTTTGTTCGTAACTAAATAATAAAACGATGGCCTCTTCATGAGAATAGATGTAAAGTTTCCTAACCTAGTATAATAAATATAAGTCTTAATGCCTAGTTATGCTTGAACTTTTCTGGCTTTGTAAAGAGTCTTCATGTTAGTATACACACTGCAGAAGTGTACTTTAATTTCCTGAGATTGTCACAATCCCAGCTGCCAGAACGGGGTAAAGAGCACTTGTGTGATAAGAACCTAGCCCCTTCTGTTCACACTGCCAGAAGAAACTGTTTCTGTGTTATATTTCCCCCATTTTAGAAACAAATGTTAGTTTCTCACATGTAAAGTAAATGAATAACCTTTGTGTCAAGTGGACAATGAATTGTAAGGAAGATGGAGCAGTGAGTATTGTCACTACATTTTTGTTGACGATATGGCCATAATACACAAGAGCTGTTCACTGCTACAGAAGTATTAATATTACCACTAATTAAAAACTTGCGTACAATTTTGTTCCTGAAAGACAGATCAGAGGTTACCAAAGATACACCTGATATTTCCAAAATTAAACCTCTTTCCGTGTAAATAGTTCACCCCTATTCCTACCATTAGATCCAGGAACCGTATCCTGGATCTTTGTCAGCTGCAGCCCAAAAACACAGGGTAACTGAGTTACAGATGAACAATCACTTTTATATTTAACATTTTCTGGACCTATGACGTTCTAGAGAGCAGTTAGACTGCTATATGCCATAGGAAAGATGAGTAAAATGCTTGTTTAATTCCTGTCTCACATTTTTGTATTGTTTCTGAGAAGACAGTCATTAAACAGGCTGTTACAACTACAGTATTCCATTCATTCAGGAAGTACCTGGAAAACTCTACCATCCTCTGGTAGGTATCCTCAAATAAAATCTTTGTAGGGGAATAAGAGTGTAACACAGATAAATGTGTAACCAAGAAGTTGACTAGGGGATGATTCTAGATGATACACAGCTACTTCAAATCTGTGAAAAGATTATGGATCATAGTAAGACTGGTGGAGGGAGTAATAGGTTCTACTTGGTTTGTCTGGACATCTACAATTTTATAGACAAACACACATTATTGCATAACCAAAAGCCTAAAAAACATGTTATTAGCAAACAGGATTCACAGAGGATTGAGGAATTGATCTGTACAGAAAGTACAAACTGCACGACAATTAAAAATTCCACAGACAGGAAAGCGATTTGTAGGAAACATATTATGTCCTTTCTGTTCCAGGTGGCTGTGTGTATGTTACCTGTATTGTATCATCTACATTCATTGCATATGGAACATAATTAACAACTATATATATCCTACAATCAAAATGTAACAAAGAACTATACCATAAACCCATTCAAAAATGCAGAATGCAATTGACATTATCTAAAAAGGAAATGTCAGTATTGTTCAGGGAATGGCAGTTGGTATGAAATAAATTCAAATTTTGACCCTTCAAGCCTGTCTTGAAATTTTAGCCTGATTATTTATGCCAAGACCAGTACCAAATATTTTAAGATCTGACTGACTGAAGCTCACTCCAACAAGGAAAGAAATATCATTAAATAAGATAGTTGCACTTGCAGAAGTGTCACTGAGGAATTAATATTAAGTGACCAGCTTTATGCTTTTCTGGGACAGCATGGAATGGCATTTGGGCATGAGATGTTGACAGTAAGGTACAAACTGCTGTCAAGTGACATTTGCAATTTTAGCTGCCTAAGGTCTTCCCATTCAGAAAGGGTCTGTACACCAATTCATACTTGGTCACTTCTTCAATTTGAAATTAAAACATAAGCTGATGTGCTGTGCTCAATAGGAAAGGACAGCTGAGTCGGAGTCAGAAGCTTCGCATCTTGATTCTATTGACCCAGACATGCTGGCTTCACACAATAGGAAAAAATGGTGTCATTCTTTCTCTTACTGTAAGCTGCAGCATTTTATGGCATAACTTCTATTCGGAAGCATTATTTGATGTAAATACTGTGTGCCTGCTTATGATTGTTTTTGTTCTATGGAGCTGTTTCCAAAGAGGTTGAGAACCCAGTCAAGGAATGTAATCAAGTTACCTAAGAAAGACGCGGTCTCTGAATCCCAAGAGCCAGAACTATAACCAAAAAAGACACACCTCCACTACCAGCAATGAAGAAGCCCAATACAGCTACGAATAATGAGGGCTGTCAAATCTGATCTGCTTTACAGGCATCTGGGGAAGGATAGGATCTGGGAAGCTGCAGGAGAATGAACTGCAAGGCCTGACTATGGGGAGAGCTACAGCACACAGAAATTGGACCAAAAAGTGTTATTTAAACCACACAAAGACAGCATCCTCACAGATATTATAGTGCATGCATATGAATATGAAGTCTATCAGATGAACATAAAGAGGAAACAATGTATTTTTTAGTCTACAAAAAAGGAACTGCCTAAAACGAGGGACCATAATCTTCTTCAGCTTACATTTTGAAAACCCTGTAAATGTTAGGTCTTCAAAGCACTAGTATTTTATGCAATCAGTACTTGAACTGTTTTGCCAGAGGTCTCACTATCCATTCTTATCATTTAAGGAAAAATATTTGCACATAACGATCAGTTCATTCATATTTGTCTGATGAAGTAGCCAAAAGTATTTGTGAGAATCAGGATTGTTCTTTCCCGACTTATGTTTAGCAATCATTAACTGTTCCTATGAAGAGCAATCATGCTCACCAGCATTTCACTCACATCCAACCCTATTTTTAAAAATTAACAATACTTTTTATTGTTAGCATCTATGGGCAAGAAACAAGATTTTCCATCAAGTTCTATACCTGAGAAGAAAAACGCTTTCACAGATTTTCCATAATACCATGTCCTGTACTCCCAGATTTACCGACACTATCACAACAGCATGCTGAGTTTTCAGGTATTAGCAGCTCAAAGATGGATTGGTAGAAATGGAGTTACAATGATCTGTTACCTGTTCCTCATGGACCAAATATACCTATAACTATTACTGATTTATGATGGATTTCCTTTGTGTCAAGCTACACAAAGAGGCCATCTTAGAGCAAGGCATGGTAAATGCCTTATATTTAGTCCATTTTTCTTTTAAGGTAACATTTGACCACAGACAATTCTATACACTTCAGAGGAACACTCTTCCAAGTAATAGAAACATTTTGTGAATTCCCTTGGCCACAGCACAAAACAGCCATAAAAATGCAAGTTGGATATCCAACTTTTTCTTTTAATGAAGTTTCCAAAATATGTGATTAATACTCACAAGTAAGCTGCCTTTCCTTCTTCCAGTTCTTTACTTTTTCCACTTGAACCATTCTTTCTCCCACAGATCCTCCTGGTGATGCACATTAGCAATCCACATTGTCGTACAAAGAAGCAGCTAACATCAGTCACAACCAGGATTAACAAAAGGGCTGCCACTCCCAGGCCAATGACAGCACCAAGTCCAAGTCCATTAAAGATAGTGTCTTGAAGGAAAGAAAACCAAAATTTATTAATAAAATTAATCCCAAAGATTAGCATTTTCTAAAGCTTTTAAGCTGTAGGCCAGGAGGCTAAAGGATGTTTAGAAATGAACCATTCAGAAATTTATGGAAATAAACAGTCCTGAAGATGAAGCATGTATACGAACTGATTAAAAAAATCACAAAAAATATCTTTTCTATAGAATATTTTTGCATGGCCAAAATTCCAATATGGTCACAGAGCATAAATGACATTTTTTAATAAAAAATAACATCACATCTTAATATTCTGAGACTGAGAGTATCAGTATGCAGCTTAAGAAAAATATTCAAAATGTTCAGCATAATAATAGTGGATATGTTGTCATTTTTCACATTTCAAATATAATTAATTAGCAGTAGTGCTAAGTAGAATCACTGAAAGGTTTACAAGAGTGCTAAACCAGTATTTATTCTTGCAAAGGTCATTTTTTGAACAAAGTAGAATGAAAAAGTTTTCAAAGATGTTAATTCAAGCTATTTAATCTGCAAGCAATTGCACACGTTTAGTCTTAAATTACCATGAGGAAAACCATGCATATAATTAAATGATTATAGGGTTAGGACCTCATTTTGTATAGTGTCGTACCTTGAAAATACATTCATACACTTCAAAATAAAAATATTTCACACTCAATCTTGCTTTCTGTATTTGTATTATGAAAGCTGATGCTTTGCTAATTTTACTTCATTACAAAACTCAGAAAAAATATTTTAATGTTTTGACTCAACTGACATTTCCATGACAGAAAACAATGCTACAGACTGTTTTGCCTAACGTGATTCTCAGAAGAACAGCAACTGTTGTGTTTGTGAACTCAGATAACCCTTATAAAGGAGGGGACTTGTATCTGATCAATAAACTAGGGGGAAAAAAAGTGTCATAGAATCATAGAATGGTTAGGGCTGGAAGGGACCTTCAAAGGCCATCTAGTCCAACCCCCCTGCAAGGAACAGCTCAGTAAAGGTTCACACTTGTTCAAGAAAGTGTCAGCCTAGCTCAGAAATTAGCTAGTGACGATCGCCTGGTGGGATGCTATGTCTTGAGCAAACTCTACAGGAGAGTGGAACTGGGTTTTCTGCACCTTGGTGTTGTGCAGCAGCATTGCCTGCTTAGTGTTACCGTGCCTTGGAGGGATGCACGAGTCAGCAGGGCAGTGGTACATTTCCATTTGCAGCTGTAGCTATGTCTGTTGCCAAAATAAGAGCAAGATTTTTCTGACAGGAGATTACTTGAATATTGTTGTAACAGATAACAAACCATAATATAATGTAATATAATACAAATATTTTAATGGGGCCACTACTATCCTTCCTCTTTATTTTCTACCTTTCTGATATATTGTGGGCTGTTTTCAGGTTAAGAATATAATTTAAGATTTCATACTTTGCTTAACTAATTTATACGAAAATATCTATTTACCTTTACAAATATAATTTGAAAACTATTTTCTTGAGGACTTCCAAATCAACACAAGCTAACAGAAATATATGCTTTGTTAGTCTATGTGAAAGGACTCTTGAATGGAAAAGTAAAAACTTTTTTCAAAAGAAAGGGAACATTTTACTTCTTATGCAATTGATTTCCTTGTCTATTGTATGGATTGTTTTATTATAGAACTATTCTTCAGAATGTTATTATGCAACAAGCCAGAATTCAATGTATATATTTACACGGATGGATAGGCAGATAAACAGGCAGATCGTACTTCAAAGTTATTTTCCTTTCTTCATAAAGACTTAAAAAATGCTATATAAATAACAAAAATAATGGCACAGCAATGAAATGATGTATCATTTATTCATTGCCTTGTCAGAAAGGTTGGAATTTGACATTTCACATGAATTCATTTCCTTTCTTTATTATAATTTCTGATACATATTCCAAAACTCACTTTATCCATACATCTACCCGTCTTTTTCAGGACTTCCTTTCTAAATTTCAGTCATTTGTGTTTAGCAATCCGAATTGTCACAAAGCTATAAATAGGCATTTAATTTGTTTATTGAAAAGCTGATATGTTTCAACAGTCATAACACCAGTATATTCTATAGACTCCAGTTCTAGTGACCTTATACAACAAAATTTTCCTCTCTATACCTTCTTAAACATTAAATAGAACTGTGGAGGAGAAAAACTGGGGTCTTTTAATCCACATTTTTAAAGGGATTTGGGGTTGTTTTGTTGCTATTGTACTTTTAGGATTTTTTTTTTTCTTTTTTTAATGCAGTGTTAAGAAGCCTTTACCATAGGGAGATACATTTTTCACTGATCCAGGCAGCATTTCTAGTATCACTGGAACATTGTGATGTGACAAGGTTCCCACCTTGACTGATTCAGTGACAAGAAAAGCTTACACAATATTTTCACTGGCAAGTGAAGGAAATGTTTATAGTAACAACGTTGTTCCTTTGTACAATGATATTTGTATTCATTTGCCATAGTTGTGGGAAAGACTTTGTTTTTCATTTTTAATATTCTTGGTATTGGTGAGACATCCAAGATCTAAGTATTTGACTGTTACATATTTTTCTGTCTCTTTATGATTGATAATTTCCTTTTCATTTAGCATTCCCCATCCTTATCACTGCCCTACTTGTCTCAAGTCCTATTTTTCCTACTTGCAACCCATTTGTTCATACAGGTTTCTGTTCCACATTTGAAGGTCAGATTTCTTATGATTGCAAATACTTTTCCAAACATTACATCTACATGTCTGTCCTTTACCTCCCACATCCCAAAGAGAGTCAGGAAAGTGGCCACATCCTGAGGTGAGGCCTGAAGTATGGCTGTCGTCAGCCTTCTCGCCTCTCTTATGCTCTTTATGTCCTTTCTTCTACTGAAGATGGGCAGAAATTGGACTGGTCTGTGTTTTAAAAGCATTTGTGTTATAGTATATTTTTAATATCAATGAAAATATTTAAAAGAAATTTTCTAGAAGTTGCGCTTTGGTTTAATTCTGTTCTTGCTTAAATTACTGGGACTTTGTACTGGTCTATCTGCTCCTGCAAAAGTCAGTTGTAAAACTACTGTCAATAACTATTAAAGCAGACCTATGCTTGTCCTGACTGCTTTCAAAAATCATACCTTAATATATCTATGGTATCACAATAATGTGAAATTTTGTCCTAGTACCATATGACATTAACAGAAGTACTAATTCTGTGACTGGATAAAATGTTAATATCATACTACATACAGAGTTTCAACCAACTCTGAAAAACATCTTTGTTATCAAAAAGTTTTGCCTTAAAATTGAGATTAGCTTTACTGTGCCAATTCTTAAACAATACAAAAAAAACCCCATTATAAGTAGCAATGATTTTAAATGCAGTTTTTTACAGTGTTCCAGTATATACCAAATGGACTCAAAAATACTAGTTCCACTTTGTGCTCTACAGCAATAAAGTATTTATACATTATATACCTTCTTTTTCTAGTTGAAAACACACTTATTTTAAAAAGTAAAAGTTCAATGTTAATGTGAGACAATCAGTTCTTAACAATTTTCTGAAAAGGTTTATTGTATACCTGTCTTAGTAATCTAATTGCAGTGGAGCCTTTTAAAACAGTTGGAAAAAAAAAATATGCAAGTTCCATAGTTCTGACTGAGTTTTAATTATAATTTGTCAAAAATATGTTAAATTTAAAATAATATGCTTTTCGTTATATAGAATGTGGCATAAATAACACAATACACCTTGTCATGATGATGAAGGAAACTGCCAACTTTAAACAAAGTCACTTCGTTCATCCACTTCTTAAAATAAGTGCTTATCAATGAATACTTGTGGAAATAAGATTACAAAACTTTCATATTGTGCTGGTTTTGACTGGGTTAGAGCTAATTTTCTTCATAGTAGCTAGAATGGGGCTATGTTTTGGATTTGTGCTGGAAACAGTGTTGATAATGCAAAGATGGTTTTGTTATTGCTGAGCAGTGCTTACACAGAGTCAAGGCCTTTTCTGCTTCTCACCCCACCCCACCAGTAGTAGGCTGAGGGTGCACAAAGTGCTGGGAAGGGACACAGCTGGAACAGCTGACCCCAACGGACCAAAGGGATATTCCAGTCCCTATGACATCACGCTCAGCATATAAAGCTGGGGGAAGAAGGAAGAGGGGACGTTGAGAGTGATGGTGTTTGTCTTCCCAAGTAACTGTTACGCATGATGGAGCCCTGCTGATGACTGAACACCTGCCTGCCCATGGGAAGTAGTGAATGAATTCCTTATTTTGGCTTTCCTTGTGTGCACGGCTTTTGCTTTCCCTATTCAACTGTCTTTATTTCAACCCATGAGTTTTCTCACTTTTACTCTTCTGATTCCCTCCCCCATCCCACTGAAGGGAAGTGAGTGAGAGGTAGTTACTTGCCAGCTGGGTTTAAACCACAACACAGAAATGTAATTAAAAATATTGAAGCAAGTTGCTACAAATGTCATGGAAGTATTGGCAATTTTCAAGTTCTCGCTCATTCAGTAAGTTGTATGTCTAACTTCTAATAAAACAATGGAACATTTTTGAACAAATCATTATTTGAGTAATGGGAAAGAGCAATGAAGAACTTTGGCAAGTAAAACAGAATTTCCCAGTGAAGATAAATAACTGGAAAGATACATTTTCTGGACCCTTAAATGTAAATTCAGAGTTAATTCCTTTAAGGAGTCTCTAAAGGGAAGTGGGTCTAAAGAGAGAACCACTATCTACATATGTACACAGAGTGCACCTGTACATAGAAAACTACACCTATTGCTTCTGCACAAAGAGACAGGAATTTAATATGCAACATCCATATATTCAGACTGATTTTAAGTGAATGTATGTCCTTCAATGTGATGGAATTTCTCTGTACACCTACAGAACCACATTGTATATATTCCGCTGCTGGTATAACAAAAAAGTAATTGCAAGTGTTATAATAAGTGTGCTGCTTGGGCAGGGGAGGCTGGACAAGATGACCTCCAGAGGTCCCTTCTGACCACAACCATTCAGTGATTCTAAGTTTTGTTGAAAAAAAATA